TAGTGAGTGGAAAAGAAAGAAAGAGGGAGTGGAGTCGTGCAATGTGTAGGAGTTATTGATCAGTCAGTAGCTCTACTGAATGCTGCTTGTAATGTGAAAACCTTCAATATTTAAGACGGAGAACATTTTATTGAAACGTTACTTATCAAAAACAAAAAAGGAACATTTTATTGAAATGCAGTGGAAGAAAGTAAGGCCTGCCCTGAGATGAGACCAGAAAATTTTATCAAGAATTCTTGCATTAGCTTGCAGTTGTTCTAGCAAAGAGCATTGGCAACTTTATTTGGTCTTAGTGAAGCAAATTTCATCCAATAGCAGAATTACATAATTTATTTATTTATTTTGTCATTATGATTTCTTTCCATATTTGTTTCATTTTGCTGTTGTGTTTGCATAAAAATCTTCTGTGGATTTTGTAGGACCGCATAATAGCTCGCCTTCAACAACCATATTCGTTGGATTGTATTCCTGTTGAAGCTGAATATCAGGTTTGTTACTTGCCAACTGTAATCAGCTTATCTTCCTGGAATACCTAGACCTCTAGAGATAGATGCTTGACCAAAGATATAATGACTACTGAAGAGCTTATCATTATCGCAAATACCGTTTTTGTTGAAGATTGGGAAAAATCAACATCGTTTTGTGGAAGAACTTTTATAGATTACAATTTTATTAGATTCATTGTGTTTGAATAGCATAATATTGTTGAATAGAATTCAACGTTTAAACGAAGGCCCAAGGCTTCACAACAAGTTCCAATCGTCTTCGGAATGGAGTGGAAGTTCTGTGTTCTCAAGGACGGACAAGCAAATACGGACTTGAACCAACAAAGTCGCAACATTAACAAAGAAACAAAGCTTTAAGGCAATTAGCACGGAAATAATGACGCAAAGCTCAAAAACTAGCTAAACACAAGTAGGGACAATTTACTTAGTGTTAATTAGGTAGGAAAATTTTAAAAAATTGAAACGGAGTGGAAAATCCCAAATTCGAACCCAAAAACACTGTCAAAACCTGTAGTTTCTGGTGCAAGAAAACTGATGGTGCGACCGCTATTGCAGTCCTGGAGTCACAATCGCGCCCTTGCGGAACGCTGTTAAAACCTGTAGTTTCTGGTGCAAGAAAACTGATGGTGCGACCGCTATCGCGGTCCTGGAGTCGCAATCGCTGCCCTTGTGGCCTGAAAAACCTTCGCGGTCGCGATGCACAAGTGGATTTCTGCCTTCCGCGGAAGCAGCTTGAAGCCGGCGATCGAGGACCTTCAACTGGGTTCAGGTGCTCTTCAAGGCTTAACAAACTAGCTTCAGCTTTCTCCCAAAATTTGATTCAAATCCCAACCAAATTGATTCCAAACACTCTCCACTTCAGATACAATTCTAACAAGTATATAGAACAACTTTCAATCACACCCAATCGTTTTCAAAAACTATTTTTCAGATTTTGATTTTCAAACTCAAGCCCAAAGTTCAACAATGTTCTTCAATTGAATTTCCAATTCTCAGATCTCATTTGATTGATTTGCAACAACAATTGATTCACATATTTTCTCCAAAAAAATCTCAACAGTAATTAACAACCAAAACTCGAATTCATCCACAGAAATCAAACTCCAACCAAGCAAGAACTTTCTATTTTGGGTAATTTTCGGATTTTTTCTCTGATTTTATAATAAAAAACAATCAACAAGAAATTGTTTAACCTATCTCTGATGCCAAGATTATCACTATCACAAACAAGAAAAAGGATTTGAAAATAACAAGGAATTAAAAGGATAGAAGTTAGATACAAAATTGAAAGGGAACTAGTAATTATTTGATTAATCAACACGTAATCACCCAAAGATACAATCTATTAGCACCTAAACTATTAGGATACTCAGTAGATTGGAGCTCTTTTCAATCCGAGAGCAAAGTCTCAAAGCAATTAAGAAACTCACTAACAAAGTACTCACTAAAGTAACCACTAATTACTCACTACATAGTACATACTCACTAGAGAAGCTAGAATCTCCATTATCATGTTCATCAAAAGCTAAAGAATGAAACTAGGTATTGGGCTAATTATACTAAGCCTATTTATTACATAGCTTGCCCAAAATAACCCTTCAAAAGGCTTAAAACGTCATTAGCTAAATGCTGAAAATGAGCCTCCAGTTGGTCATCGCGATTGCCCTTCAAGATCCGCGATCGTTATATTCAGTCGACTCAGGCTCTTCTACAATCGCTGTGACTGCTAGTTCCAATCCTTCTTCCTTGATTGCTCCATGAGCTCCGCGACAGCAATAACAGTCTCCCAGCTCTCCTCTGTGATTGTGTAATGCCTCAGCTACAGTTCCTGCAACCTTCAAGTGCTGTCCAAGGGCTTCTTCTTCAGCTCCAAGCTCCAAGTTAGGTCCTTTCTTCCATTGTTGCAATGTGTAACATGTTGTGGACCTCATTTACAAAGGGTTTGTTGAAGCTTCCATCTTCAAGATCATCATTCCAAACACTTGTAGCTCCGTAGCTTGGCTATGAGTGAATGGTCGTGAGGGTGTGGCTATGGGCAATTGGTCACAGAGTGACCACTTAAGACAATTGCCCAATCAAAGCTCTTCCTTTTTTTTTTTTTTTCCATAAGTGCATTATTCTTGTCCCTTTGTGGTGCTCATTCTAGCGGCATTGCTCTTAGTTCTGATGACCGTTCCATCTGACCATGCATGTCCCTGGTGTCTGTTCCCCATTACCGTGCCTCTGGCGCACTAAAAAAAAGTAGAAGAACAACAACAATTGATGACACACACACACGCGCATATCTGTGGAGCTCTTCAGAAGAGCTACTGCTTAGTCCTTGTCTTGTGGCCCTTTGAAACTTGAACACCCAGTGAGAAAAACTAAGATAAGAAAAGAGATGTTTTGCTAACACGAGGATAATGGAATACAAGACTCACCTATTTATAGTTGTAGAACGGAATCTACATCTTATATTTAGTCGATGAGCGACTAACTAGATACCAATTATAACAACACTTCACTTTTAACGCACCCTACTTTACAATATTTACCTTGTGAAAGAACTCAGATGCTTCTATATTCAGTCTTTAGCTTTTTCAACTGTTCATTTAATCATTCAGCCTTTAACAAGCCAATAGATATAGATGCCTAATGCTATTGAATTGTGCAGAAACAATTTTCAGAATTGCTGATGAGGGCTGCTAATGATTATGGTGCTTTAACGGCCTCTGTAACAGATTTTCAATGGAGTCAGAATTTTAAAGAACCGCCAACAGTTTGGGTGGTATGCTTTTCCTTTCTCCTGCCGATTAACTCGTTCTTCATATGTTGTAAATATAAAACTAATTTGTTATGATTGTTTTGAGTGTTGAAGCATCATTCATAATGCTGTACTAAAGTAATGTGTTTTGTGTGGAAGCTATTATTTTATTTTGCATGTGGGGATTCCTGAATTAGTAAGGGTAAATGGAACCATCACATTAGCATATATCTCTCCTGGTGACAGTTGTCAGGTGCTTGGTGGTGCTCATTTTTTTATTCCTATTTGTTTGATGCAAGGAAATATTAATTTTCATTTTGTGGATGGGCATGTCACTGTAGTTTGCATACACTTTGATGGAAAGAAAATTGTGAATCCCTATAAGATGGAAAGAATAAATGAAGTGGTGTAGTTATTGGGGGCTATAACTGACAAATATGCACGGAGATGGATGATGCAACTAGATGTTAGAGCGTTTGAATCTGTACAGAAGCAGTACATGTTTGTATGTGCGCTCAGGTAAGACTGATGCTAGAAGTTTTAACCAAAAAAGTTTTAAAGGAACTAGGAATCCATGAAATCATTAGTGCAGTGTTGCATTCTTTTTTTATTGCGTAACTGGTGAGTTAAACCCTCAAAATACACATGGGATTATTCCTTTTCGAGACCCTGAATTAGCTTTAATCTGTGAAATGCTTGGATCTGTTGCATGAAACATGCAGGAGAACTTTATAAATTCACATATATGGATAGGAAAAATAAGATCAAATATTTTAAACAAGATACCAAGTTGCATTGGATTCTCAAGTTTGATGTTTTAATTAATGTAGGAAATGCTTCGTCCAATTCCTGTTGCTTTAGCTTCTAGCACCCGATTCTTTGAAGCCATGTCTGCGATGAGAGAGTCAATTGCAACACTGCATGCTTTGAGAGTTGGTCATTCTTCTTCCTTGTCTACAACACCAAGCAACGAGCCTTCACAAAGAACACTTGGAGATACTGATTGTGTGACTCCTCCCCCATGGAGATCAGAGTCAAGCTTTGATGATTTAGCCGTTGGAAGCCTGAGAAGGCAAGAAAGTGAGCCACAAGAAGGTAGTGAAATTGCAAAAGGTGATGGTATGGGCCACAGGAGATTGTCATGGCCTCCTTCAGTTAAGAACATCTCATAATGGTATCAATACTTGGGCTGCTGTGTATTTGTTATCCCCCGTTCCCATGGATTTATCATTTTGATCATCTTTGTATTCATTTAGGTGATTGTATTTTCGGTGTCTGATGGGTGTTTTTTTCTTCTTATTCTTTTTCACCAGTTCCATGAATACGGGGCGTGATATTTGTTTGGTTTTACTCTTGAACTGAAGCCATTTCAAACAGTGTTCAAAATGAAAAGATGTTTTTTCATAGAAATATTCATTCTCCAGTTACACATCTTCGTTTCAATAACACGTAAAATCTAGTCTATGTAAATAAGTAATCTTTGGTTCCTCTCCAGATGGAATGATTAGGTACAAGAGTATCCAAATTTTCTTTCCTCCCATGCTGCTATTTATTTAATTACTTTTTTTTTTTGGGTTTTGAACAAACGGTTTCAGAATATATGGCTACATCGTGAAGGACCGAGTCCACCTAGCGGAGGTAGGATTACAGTCAAGGGGATCAAAAAAAGAAAAAAATTAAAAGGATTGTAGCTAGTGGGAATAGAACCATGAACCCCCTTGACTACTAAGCTATGCTTTTGGGCTGTCAAGGAGATTCAAAACATAATATATAGAGGTAAAAAAACAGATTTTGCCTTACATATACAGTGAAATGGGGGTTCGGGTGAACACCCTTCCGCCCCCTAAATCCGCCCCTGCTAACTACAATAAATGGTAACGTGAAAATCCATTGTCAGTACCCTTATAAATTACCGTTTAAGTTAAATCCAGATTGTTGTTCAAATAGGTAAGGTAGGCGAGAAAATGTGACAATAGGCAGACGCTTAGCTGACTAACTTACCAAAGCATATAATTGATGAGGTGGGCAAGAAAAGAGTGAGAATAGGTAGACTCTTAACTTGATAATCACTCTAATGTAAACTCTATTTTATGAATGTAGAGTGTTTTCGAGCATGAGCTATGATTTCTACCGCGAAAGGTTGCAACAAAGCAAGTACAGTATGCCCAACAAATGTACTCAAGTCGGTCAACTCTTCGTTTTCTTTCTTTCTCTTGCTCTCTCCGCTGTGGAGATGACAAAAGCAGGGCAGCCTTTTACCCTCTGTAAAATCTTAAGATGAATAGCCGCGGATCGTGTGGTGAGTATCATCACCCAATTGCATGAGTCGAAGGGGGAAGGATAGAGTTGGCAAGTTCTTCATCTAACTTAACAGGAAGTGGTGGCATTTGCTTCAGTATGTATGACGACTCATTCAACCTGCAAATTTGGTACATCTTAGGTTAACGGCTGCTTCCATACTTAAGTTAACAATGCAGTTAAACAGCCACAAGTAAAAGAATAATGAACAAAGCTAAATATTAGTATCACAAGTAACGCAAAGCTCTCAAGTGACCCAGAAAATAAGGATTTCTGGCTCACTCGATGATCATGTTCGAATTTCTAGTAGTGCTTGCCTTTTATCCCAAATAAAAAATGATGTATTGCAAAGAATATTTGCACTATCAGTGTAACCTGTTGTAGTATGTAACTTGTCTTAATATTTTCCTGCACTGAAAACAAACTAGGGGGACAAGAGGCAAAAAATAATATCCTACAAATGGGACAGTAGGTACATTCCATGAGAATCAAAATGATCACAAGAATGAGGGTAATGGGGAGCAGTTACTAACCTAGTGGATGGACTTTACATACTGCAGAAAAAATATAGAAGATGTAAAGGAGCAGGCATACTCAAGAGACTTCAGACGTACTTTTGTAAAATCATGAAGATGTTATCTCGAGCTTGACACAAAAGTCGAGTATTCTCGTGTATCTGCAAGAAAGAAGTGGAGCATATAAGTGTAGAGTTATCGTCGTTTAATGAGAGGGCCTATTATGGAGAGGCCCCAATATATCAGATATCAGGTGTTTACAAGAAAAAAGTTAAAATTATATCAGATAAGCTGCATACTTACTTGATGTGTTACAAGATTCGCGGAAATCTGTTGAAAGATCCGAGCATTTTGATGAATAAGCTGCGTGGTGACACTGACTGTGGCTGCAATGAACAAATTCTACTTTTCAGAATAAAAGAAGTTGGAATTAGATGAGAAGAACATTATAAGATGCTTTAACTTGAGATATCAGGTGTACTTGTCCCCAAAACTTGTAGACCTCAACATCTTAGTTCTTACATATGCTATACGATTCAGCCAAGTTCACGCTTCAAACAATGAGTTGCAACATTAGCCCAGTGAGAAGCTGTTGTTTGAATCTCAACTCTGAGGAGTTGAATTAATATCGACGTTATTATATATTGGACGCGAAAGTTAGTTATTCTAATCGTGAGTTGATCATTATAGTACTAAACTCAGATATAATTGGTATTCTTTACATGTCCAATAGATTGTGCGCGCTTTGCTTCTCATATTTCGCTTAAAATCACATGGACCATGTCGCTATTTTGCGCTTTTCACTTTTGAAAACAATCAGAATAGTGTCCAGATTGCCAACATAGAACTATCATTTAATTAATGCATCTCAAATTCTTAATCAATCAATAACTCCATCCTATGCTAGTTGGGGACCTCAAATCTTTATACTTCATAGATTTAAGTTTCATCAAAGTTTTCATCACTTCTCATATGGAGGATTTATTTATTTATTTTTAAAATATTGAGTTAACATTGACAAAGAACTTAAAATGTAAGAATGTAGTTTCAAGTGTTTTTTATGATGAACACCAACAAGACATAATTCAGATATCTAAATTTCATGCTAAAGAAAAAGAGCAATTTTAATCTACTAACTATTCTTGAGAAGAAGTGAAACTGACCATGATATGAGGTGAAACCGTCACTCTTATTTGAAACCACTCCTTGAGCATATGGAACATAACCAGGCTGGATTACTACAGGGGACGACGCTGCAGTAGGATCAGTCAATTTTTCCTGAGAAAAGAATGTAACACATTTCCTTGAGCCTCTGGAGGTATACATCAAAGTAAGCCAAATAGAAATGACCTAAAACACCAGTGATGAATTCCGATAGCCTCATTACAAACAACTTTCCAAAAGCATGCAAGAGGGAAAGATCAAGATAAAACATGCTCTTCATAATTTCTATGAATTTTTTGTTAAGCGACAATCGAGGTGCTAGTATTGTAGAGAAAGTAGTTGAACTTTTACTGGGATTAAACTCTACAATTTTAGACTGATTAGGACGGCATAATGTGCAGCTTCGAGAGCTGCCAAATAAATCACGAGGTAACAGCTACTTTAGTTTGAGAGATCTGTGACCATTCCTTTCGTTAAGCAATGTCTGACTATGATATTTAGGTTTCCAGACTCTATAAGCAGATGAATTTTTTTAGTCATTTCTGTTTGATCTATGCTTGGATCTTACATCACATTCACAGAAATATATTAGCAACTTAACATTATAAATAGTCCCCCTCCTCAATGGGAAGAGAAAATTCTAGGGTCAAATCATGTCATCATCTAAATAAAGAGAGTTAATAAAAGAGACAAAAATTTTGAGGTAGCCACAAATAATGCAAGGTTCACTTTTGCAGGAAGCTCTGAGTCCTTCAAAATCCTTGCACTCATATTATCCAAGTACAAAGTCGGGGGTAGGTTAATGATGTTAGTTAGGTTAAGGGGTAGCAAACGCGAGAGTCGGGTCGAATATGGGCGGGTCGAATTCGACCCGATCTATATTTAATACGGGTAGAAAATGAGTTAACAAGCGGATAATATGGATATCTTTTTGAATATGATTACTTTCGGGAGAATTCCTAGTCTCCCAAGCTTGAGGAACCCCCAATTTGAGTCTTGACAAATGTAAAAGTTAAACCCATTAGTTATCCATTGGTTATACATTTTCTAAGTGGATAATATGGTTGTTATCCATATTTGACCCATTTTCAAAAAGTTCATTATCCAACCCGTTTTTTAGTGGATAATATGGATGGATAACTGTTTTTTTTATCCATTTTGCTACAATTAGCTGGAAGTTGATAGGAGATACTATCTGGTGTTTTATTGTTAACACAGGTAGACAAGATTGGTCTGTGAATAACCATTCTTTAGAGGATCATAAGAACCAGCTAATGCTGAAAGTCTTACAAACATTGGTCTGTTAAGAAAAGGCACTATGGGCTTAACTCAATCCCATAAGCAAGATCATGATGTGAGAATTGCCCAAAATCATATAAGGAGACAACACCTCATTCCCAATCAATATGGGACATTCTAACACCCCTCCGTCCCCTCTCCAGAAGCATGCCCAGGATTGGACATTTGGAATATGAACAATATTATGGTGATCCAACATAAGAGTAAACAAAGAATAAGGATAGGTTTGGCTCTAATACAATGTTAAGAAAATTGATATAATGCGTAACTCAACCCAAAAAAGAGATCATGAGGTGAGAATTATTCAAGACCATATAAGGAGACAACAGTCTATTCCCTCAACCAACGTGCAGCATTCTAACATATTGTTCATTACGGGTTTTAGTAAAACTAGGAAACAAAGTAGAAGACGGTGAAAGAGAGGAAGATAATCACACAACTTATGTTCTGTTGCTTAGGGAGTTCTCTCGACTACTCTCATCAAACCAAGAGCATGAGGATTAAGATAATTGTTCAGAAAGACACTTCTTGAGGGTTTACATGTTAGAAATCATACTAGCGATGACGTGTTTGCCAATCAAGAAAATGTGTCCAACACATGTTGCACACTGTTAGATTTACTACAGGTCAAGAAGCTACAACTGGAAGCTGTAGGAGAAACAATAGGTCACTGGAGATAAGTTTCTTGGAGGAACTTCTATGACTGGGAGATACATAAAGTAGCTCTTCAGAAATATCTCAAAAGCCAGATTAGTCTGAAACTAAGTTGCTCCGACACGGCAGTTTAGGTGCCGTACCCGTGTCGACACGACACTAGTATGAGTGTGGGTATGGGATCCGTACCGGATTTGGTCAAAATGACCGTGACGGATGGAAAAATTCGAGACGGGATACAATTTGATTCCCGAAATCAGAACCAAAACTAGGGCGAATTTGAAGAAAATAGCATACCTTATCCAGGAAATCAATTCTTTACTTATCTATAACTTGAGAATAAAAAAGAAATCCACACTTTACAAGCTATACATAAGTATTCCACCAAATTCCTCATAATTTAGGTATACTTTTATTTTTTTTGAATTATTTTTAGTCGGATCCCCCACCCGTATCCGTACTAGGATCCGTATCCCCGAATCTTAGAATTTACATCTCGAAGGATCCGACCTCTAGATCCGCACCCGTGTTGGACACCCGCACCCGTATCCGAGCAACTTAGGTCTGAAAAGCAGAAGAGAATGGAACCTTCTTCGTTGGATCACGCTATAATTTGCTGGTCATAACGGGAAGATATGGTCAGTGGGCTCGGAGAATCTTGTGGAAGAACATTGTACCTTTAAAAGTGATGTGTTCATGCCTTAATCAATAGAAACTTCAAAAGAATGGAATTACAACCTTCAGAAGATGTGAGAAAGCAGAGGAGCACCCGGATCTCTAGTTCCTACATTGCTGATCATTTGATAACTTACATACACTGACCGTTAAGCTGTCAATGTACTTTAACCTGTTGTAGCAGGTTACCTACCTTATTTCCCTAGTTGCTAATCCCATTTATTAAGGATGTTGTTTTTCAAGTGACCTTATATTGTACCTTTTACACTATCAGTATATAGAAGTTGAATTCTTTGCAAATTAGGAGCATGTTTACAAACTTATTTGCAGCGATATGGGGAATGCCGACCAACCTAAAGGAGGACAGAGGCAGGATCCAGAAGATAGAAAAGCGACTTAAAGTTCCATCTAATTCATACCACCATGCGTTACACAGACAGTTTGGAAGGAAATGAACTCAAGATGTTTAGAAGGGAATGCAGTACCACTTCATTGTTTAATACTAAAGATTTAAATTATTTTGACCTATTATTGGACTTCACAGACTCCTTATTCTCATGGTGCTGTTTCGTAAATAAAATGAGCTCAAAGAGATAGGGAAATCAATATCAACACAAGAGATAAACACAAGTGTTTACCTTTCTATCTTTATTTTTCTTCAATAGATTTGCGTCATCTTTCCTTCTCTTGCTGTTTTCCTTTTTCTACAGGGATAGTAACACAGTCAGTACAACAACACTATAACAAGAGGAAAACTTGCTCCAAAAAAATTGAAAATTATACGTATACAATATAATAGCTACTATGTTAACTCAATTTCTTCTTAACCATATAACTACAACTATAAGGATTCTAAATGATGCAAAAAAGAGTTTTAAAAAAGAAGGAATAGCAAATGAAATTCTTAAGTGGCCAGACCCGGGAAGAAAGAGAAAGAACATGGTAAAGGATGAGAAGTAAAGAGAACCAATATGAACATCAAAGACAAATGCATGGTAACAACAAAACTTGAGGAACAGATCTAATGCCTGCTAATATGCAGAAAACAATGCGTGTAACTGTGTTGTGGTGAAGAATTTCAATGCTTTTAGTACTAGCTATGGCTTATCTGGGGCTTAGGTGTAGTTGATTGTTAGATGTATGCTTGTCTATATTTTGTTTTCAAAGTAATAAATTCAGGCTTTTTTTACTTTTTCTGGTTATATTTTTGTTTTAAGTATCAAGTTCAGGGAGAGTTTTTAGCTACAAAATGCAGCAGCTAGGAGCACTTACTGTGGTCCATTTGCATCGTAATGCCACATCACGAACAGTCTTGTTCTTCAGCGAAATTGCAATTTTTGCATAACGGGATATGCTTGTCTCGGAGGCATATCTGCAGTTATTTTTAAGAGTTATTTCCCAGGTTCAATAGTTGTCCTAGATATGGAGCTTCAGTAAATACAAATGAACTCTAGACCCTTGAGAAAAGTAGCTTAAAGAGATAAACCTCTACTAGAAATAAGAGATCAACACGTTTGACAAGATAAACGAAGGAAGTAAAGAAACATCAGCCTAAAATTTATCCGTTATCCTTTTTAAAAAAATAAAATAAAAAATTCATTTCTAATACTAGAAGTTAGCAGAGTCTAAAACTAGGTTCAGATCATATCATAAACCGAATAGCAATAGTTAGAAATGCTGATGACAGAACTATTCAAATTCTTTTCCTCACTTCAAGACCTCTATTTCGTAAGTAAGAGAACTTGTGTTCATAATCTTTAGTGACACTCTCAAATGTTGTTCCTCATATCATGTCTCGCACTTCCTATCTCAGTAAGATAACTTTAGCCTGCGTTCCTAGCTTTAGTTGCCTTAAGGCTTGTCTCTCTTTCAGAACCTTGGTACTCTTAAGCTGGCTTTTTGTCTGAGGTTTTCGGACAAGACTACTACTGAAAAGATGTGGCTCCACCATTGGTCCAAAATCACTTAAAACTTCATATGGGGAGGGCAGTGTTTTCAGGTACTTGTTTGAGATTATCACAGAAGAAACCAAGTGAACCAGAGAACACTAGTCATTAGACCATATATGCCTAAAGTCCTCAGTTTCAATCAAACGAAAAACGACAATAATGTTACAACTTTGTTAAATATACTGTTAAAGCACCTTCTCACATGGTTAACTAATTCTAACTGCTGAAAGAAGTAAAATAGGGAGCATATAAAGTAGAAACAAAAGAAAAAGGAATGATATCCAATATCATAAAGGAATTCTTGCCATAAGAAGGAAAGAGCTAACACCACCTTAATCAAACTAAAAATTAAAAAAATCATATATTTGCACAACAGCAACTAGGCTCGATTTATGTTAGTCCACACAGATTAATTCAAGCCAGTGAGGATCGGCTAAATGAATCCTCACAGATTGTATATTTGTACCTAGCAAATATAACATGCAAAAATTGACTTATTCATCATTATACCAATCACAAAGCTTAACAATTAACCACAACAACAAGCAAGTAATTTACAGGCGCCAACCCCACAAAGAGAAACAACAAGTTATCAATCAAATCAAGACTTAAAAGATTTACTCACTTTACCAAACCTTCCTCCAAGATAGCTTGTTCTTCTGGAGTCCAATCCATTGAAACCTGATTTTGTTGAAAACTTGTAGGTGAAGAAGAAGAAGAAGTATCTCTTCCCCCTATCGAATTATTCCCGCTACATGAATTTATCCCTTCTTTAATATTCATACCAGATGAACTTGCCATATTTCACATACCAAAAAAGGAAAGTTTAAAACAGAGAGCTCTGTTGTTTCTGTATTCTTGGGCATAAAGCTATATTATATACACAAAAATGTGCCAAGACTGATTGTCTTGTTCTTTGGCCACAGCTTGGAAACTCAGAATAAATCAAAATAAAGAAGTAAAAGAAAAGGCCAGTAAGGAGAGTTCAAGGTTTTGAAGATGGAGTTGAGATTCTTTAACAGATGCATGGGCATCAATAATGAGAAAAAAAAAATCAAGTTGTAGAGTTGGAAGAAAGGTAAAGATTGAGAGAAAAAGGAGGGAATCTATGAAGGATCGCACGTAGTTATGACAAAAAGGTTGGTTGCTACAACTGAAAAGAAAACAATACAACTGCTATAATGTAATTTTAAGTTTGTTTTTATGTGAATTTAAAATTGATGGAAGAAAAGGAAAGGGTTGTTATGGGAGGTACCTTTTTATTTTTTAACATATGCTTATAAATAGATTTATGTTAAAAATAATATGTATATATTTAATAGGCTTGAAGAAATGATAGAGAGTAAATACCAATATGAGATAAGAATATAACTTAAGAACCGCGAAAACAGTTTCTTGCAGAAATGCAGGGTAAGACTGTGAACGACAGACCCTTCTGGTCTTGTCCTTCCAGGACCTTGCGCATAACGAGAACTTAGTGCAACTAACAGTCTTTTTTTAATATGACTTAAGAACCAAACATAGTTGAACTTACGAGTTAAATTGTAATAATATATCGTGCTTGTGTTAATTTTGTGTACGTGGCTGCTAATAATGGTGATTTGAACCTGCAAATCTCATTACCTTTTTCTTTATCAAGAATGTAAAAATTCTTTTTATAATTGATGATGGTGTGATTTGAACTAAGAATTTTTTTCATATTTTGATATCATGTTGAATTATATGATTATACTTTCTTTAAAAACTTTATACTATTAAAGAAAGAATATATCTAATTATTTATATTGTGTGTTTTATAACATGCGTGGGGGTTGGCATTGTCAGTATTGAGAAAAAAAGATTTTCCTAAAGGAAAGAAAGGAAGTGCGAGCTGACGCACTGACAGCTTCTCACTCACTTCCCTTTCCAAAAGGCATTTAAAGACAAAGCTCCTCCTTTTGCCTTTAACTTTGGGAATGAAAGCTTTAGACAAAGAGAAACAAAAGAAAAGGAATTTTGTTAAATATGTAAAACGAATTTGTGCTCGACTCTTTGATTACTAAATGAAGCAATGGCTTAAGAATAAGTATTGTCTCTTCACTATAGAAAATAAGAAATTCTTCATTCTCTTTCGCATTACGTTGATATTTTGCTTTTCTCTTTTTGGATTGTTATTTGAAAATAATTTATTCTTTCACAGAAAAAGAAGTTGTAATAGGGGGTCATACTTTTCTGAATAATGAAAATGACCATATGGAATTTACTTCTATGCTAGCTCTTCCTTAAAAATGTGGAACGAGTAAATTATAAGTAATAATACCCCAAAAATATCTATTTATGCATAACTAGGTGCGTGAAGGACTTATCTGATCTCAATAATCGAAATAAAACCAACAACATCTAAAGTAAATACTGTGAGACAACCTAAATAAAGCATTTAACTCTAGAACGTTTATAAAGCTAAATCAATTGTCAAAGTCATGAGCCTCTAAGTAGAAACTTGAGTACATTATTCTTCGGGACATTCTTCAGGAATAACATAAGAGTCTAAAATCTAAATACAACAAAGTCTAAAAGAATTGGAACGGTCAAGGTAGCATGCCAACTGTAAATAGAAAGTCTGCCTCTAGCCACGTAATTCGTCACCTCCGTCTTCAACACCTGTAGCAGGCTCAAACTACTTAAGCACCTCTAAAGGATATCCAATACGTCTCGTTGATCGCCCCTCCCCCTAAGCGGAGGGACAAGACTAGTCGGGGCTAAAAATAATAATAAAATACAATAAAGTAATTTAAACTTCAATTAACACAGGAATCCATAAGCTTGAATTAATCCACAAATTTTAATTTATATTCTAAAATCGAAACTTAGATCAAGTTGATTATTCTAAAAAATATATCTGACAAACAATGGCAAATGCAGTCGTGGGAATAGTTGGTCTATCCCAAGACCTAGCGGCGTTCACACTCGGGCGGGTTATCCATTGCTCCTAACTTGAAATTTAAACGTATTAGCATCTGCAAGTGTGGGATAGCTGATATCTGGATTAAAGTATATATATTTATATGTATATCGCCTCATATTTTACTCGTGTTTCGTGGAATTAGAATGTAAAATGTATTGATTTATGCTTATTTGTGGTGTTTTTATATGTAGGAATCATCCGGAGGCAATAGGGGACGAAAGGTGCGAGACTAGAGCCAAAAGGGAGAAAAAGTTAAAAATGGCGATTTCGAGGGCCACAGGCTGCTTGGGGCGCTATATGTGGCCCAATTTCTAGAATGTTTATTTTTCCAGCGACAGGGCTAGCGCCCCACGCTACCCTGGGCGCTGGTGACAGGAAACATCTCCTACTTCGCCCAGGACAAGGTTATTTCGGCCCAAGACCCCCTACCCACCCAAACTCGTATAAAAGCAAGTCTAAACCTAATTTAGAGGAGATCTAACATACTTTGAAGGATAATTCACGTGGATGAACACACACCATGCTTGGAGGAGGCTTCTAACTAATTTTTCTTCTCTTTTTTCCCTTTAATCTCATGGTTTATTAGTTCTGGAGTTTTGGGGTGCTACATGAACATTGTAGTTTGAAGCTTGAATTGTTCTTATTATTTTATCATTTTGGTTTATTTATTCAATCTTGCGCTTAATTATTTGATTGCTTGATCACCAATTGAATACTATCTACGAATCTAGGATTGAACTCGGGAGAGGGAATTCTAGATTGCATATAAGATTGAGTAGAGAGAGATCCTGAACCTGATTATCGGGAACAAATTTGCGGTTAGGATAGGGATATACATAATTGCCTTGCTTGGTTATTATACAGGAATTATTAATGCGTTCTTGTTAATCCTAATTTCATAGGAATATAGGCGTTAGGTTAGCTTGAATAGGTGAGTAGTACTTCGGGAGAAGGCTACGACTAATATTAACCCTACCAATCAATAAACCAGATAAATTAATTAGACAATTTAAATGAAAGACTCAACGAGATTGTCAGCTAACCCATGCTCTAGAATATCGTCTCTCATTGAATTCATGTCTAATTCCGCCAACTTATTCCTTTAATCTCTTAGTTTGTTACTCTAGATTAGTTTGAATTAATTATTCATACTTTAGGATTCACTTGAATAGATTAATTGTTTGGGTTTAATTTAGTTGATAGTTAATCACAAGTCCCTGTGGGTATGATATCTGGACTTACAATCCTATATTACTTGTACGACCACGTATACTTGCGTGTGCATTTGAGAGCAACAAGTTTTTGGTGTCGTTGTCGGGGACTTTAAAATTGACTGTTTTGCTAGATTAGACTTTTACTTTTTTCTATTCAAGTTTTTAATTTTATTTTAGTGTAGTTAGTATCATATTTTTTTACATGGCATCTTGGAGTGAGAATTGGTTGAATATTGGTTATTCTTATTTTGGTGATCCCTGTCCATATTGTGGAGGACCACACTTGTGGCAAAATTGTGAATCTCAATCTTATGAGTGGAATTTTTGTAATGTGTGTGGTTGTCAAGGTGGCCATTAGGATGGTTGTCCTTATTCTTTTTACCCTTCTCTGAGCCCTTATTATGATATTTTTAATAATGTTTGTGAGTATGATAGGAGCAATAAAGTGGAGGATGTAGAGTGTGTTGCTTATATTATTGACATGATGAACCAAGTAGCCGAGTAACAAGATGAAAATCAAAAGGCTATACAAAGAATTAGTGCAACAATCATGAAAATGAAGGTCGAGGCGGAAGAATTGGCTAAGGAAAGTGAGTTCCCACAAGAAGATAATTTTGAAGAAGAAGATATAGTGAGCCAATCTTGGTTAGATGTGGTGCAATTGGCGCAGAAGCGGGAATGAGTGGGGAGGCTGGTCCGTAGAAACGGACGATTTTGCGTAGATGCGCACCCGCAGAAACGGGGTTGAGACCGCAGAAGCAGTTGGTCGCAAGAGTGAACTCCGCAGAAGTGGATGGTAGACCGCAGAAGCGGCTAGTGACCCGTAGATGCAAAAAATCGTTTGGGCAGAAGGTTCTTTTAAAAATGGGATTTGGCCCATTTTCTCTCATTTTTCACTCGGTTGGGGCGATTTTGGAGAGCTTCAATGGGAAATTTTCATCAAGCAACACAAGGTAAGTGATTCCCACCTATTTCAAGTTAAATACATGGTTTGTATAACAATTTAAACATGAAAATTGGTAGAAATTTGGGATTTTGAATGAAAACCTAGAAATTAATATTTTTGGATTTTAACCACGAAATTGGACATGGAGTTGGGAATAAATTATACATTTGAGTTCGTAGTATCATGGGTAATGATTATCTTTAGAAATTTTCGGAATTCGGGCACGTGGGCCCGAGGGTGGCTTTATCAATTTTTCTAGCGGAGTTGAAAATTGTTATAAATTGACTTATAATGAGTATTAGAGTATATGTTCATGGAATTTTACATTTATTTACTAGTTTTGGAGCGACGGGCGCCGGTTTGAGTTGTTAGAAAAAGCTTTGGAGCCGGTTTTGGAACTTTGGAGCGAGGAAAGTCTCTTATCTAACATTGTAAGAGGGAATTAACCCCATAGGTGAATTGATTTAATATGTGCTTCTATTTGTGGGGGCTGCGTACGCACGAGGTGACAAGAGTCCGTACGTAGCTACTAATTATGCTTATGTCCGGGTATTCTAGGACCCAAATCATATTATACTTGCGATGTTTGTACCCTACCTGTTAATTTAATTGCTTAAATCATATTGTAACTTGATAAATGAATTGTAAAAGGTTAAATTCATTTACTTGAGTTTTGGACGGGTCACTTGACCGTTAATGAGAATTGGTATTTCTTTAAATATTAGCCTCTTAAAAATCTTGAATCGGTTGTTTATAAATTATTATTTTTTCTCGTGGAGCCGACCGAATGCCTTGGTAGAAGATAGATGCATCTATGGTTCATGTCGTTCGACCCTCGGCAGTGCACAATTTATATATTTGTATGTTGGATCGGGTCGTACGACCTCGGCATAATTCGTGCGTAATAATACTTAAAGTCCAATTATAATTGATATTGTTTCATTGGCTTGAGAGATCAATTTGTTAAACGATGGAAATTAATTTGGGATTTACTATCAGTGAAAGAACTGTTTATCTATTTCTTGTTATTGAGTTTCCAGCTGTATTTACATAATCCATGCTAAA